TTCATCATTTCTAAGCATTTCCTTTATTCTTAGGCTTCATGTGTAGGAGTTGATACCAAATTTTTATTTTTTTATTATTTTTTTATTTTTATTTTTTTGATGCCAAATTTTTTAGTAGCTCAGTTCAGTTCAGTTGCTCAGTTGTGTCCAAGTCTTTGTGACCCCACTGACTGCAGCATGCCAGGCTTCCCTGTCCATCACCAACTCCCAGAGCTTGCTCAAACTCATTTCCATCAAGTCGGTAATGCCATCCAACCATCTCATCCTCTGTCATCCCCTTCTCCTGCTGTCTTCAGTCTTTCTCTCAGCATCAGTGTCTTTTCCAATGAGTCAGCTCTTCACATCAGGTAGCCAAAGTATTGGAGTTTCAGCTTCAACATCAGTCCTTCCAGTGAACACCCAGGACTGATTTCCTTTAGAACGGACTGGTTGGATCTCCTTGCAGTTCAAGGGATTCTCAAGAATCCTCTCCAACACCACAGTTCAGAAGCATCAGTTCTTTGACACTCAGCTTTCTTTATGGTCCAACTCTCACATCCATACATGACTACTGGAAAAACCATAGCTTTGATTAGATGGATCTTTGTTGGCAAAGAAATGTCTCTGCTTTTTAATACGCTGTCTAGGTTGATCATAGCTTTTCTTCCACGGAGCAAGCATCTTTTGATTTCATGGCTGCAGTCACCATCTGCTGTGATTTTGGCGCCCAGGAAAATAAAGTCTGTCACTGTTTCCATTGTTTTCCTGTCTATTTACCATGAAGTGATGGGACAGGATGCCATGATCTTAGTTTTTTGAATGTTGATTTTTAAGCCACCTTTTTTCACTCTCCTCTTTCACCTTCATCAACAGGCTCTTTAGTTCCTTTTCACTTTCTGCCATAAGGGTGGTACCATCTGCATATCTGAGGTTACACTGATTTTTTTCTCCCAGCAAACTTGATTCCAGCTTGTGCTTCATCCAGTCTGGCACTTTTTAGTAGCCACTTTAAAGCAAAATTCCTTTTCTAATTTGTTAGAATTTAATTGGAGGAGAGAGAGGTTGGGTGGAGCTTAGCGTATCTCCCACACAAGATATACACATCTGTGACAATTATCTTTATTTTCTTTTTGTGTCTAATTAATTTTAGTCTCTTTGTTAATGATAACATCTATTTTAGAATAGTGACTTTAAGACCTTGTAAATTTTTTTAAAAAGCAAAATTTCTGCAAAGAAACGTTACAGTTGCTTTTTGACATTTTTTCAAGAGTTTAGTTTTAGTAGAATTTGTGACATCTTAAAATAATCTGCTATTCTGATTCACAAGGAATCTTTCTAAACCCTGAACAAAGAACTGTACTTGAGCATAGTTCTTGTCATGATGTCTTGGTCGGTATAAAGGATACTTCAGGATATCTTAACCATAATGTCCATTAGTAGAATTAGCTTTTATATTGTATCAGTGATGATTATATCAGATTTTTATTGTATGTATATAGTTATTATAATGCATTATTTGATCTCTAAAAGATAGATTTTACTTTCATAGAAAGATGTCTATGCTGAAATAAACTTGCTTTGATTTACTGTATTCTAAATCTTATAAGTTTTTTCTCTTTAAGATTTTTTTCTAAGTCTTCCTTACTTGATCTCTTACTTTAATGCAATACGGCTATACTTTTGACAGCTAGCTTGACTCAGTTTAAGGATTGGTTCTGAATATTGGAGATGGTATTAGAAAAGGTACTGTTAATTTTTTGAGATTTATTAAATTCATTTCTTCATTAACAGTTCTTGAATTATAGCTTACGTCCTTTTATAATTGCTAGTTCTAAAATATTGTCACATCTTGTCTGAAAGAATTTCTTTTGAATAAAGACATAAAAGCATAAGCTGTAAGCCATGTTAAATTCTCTACAAGTACTTTTTAGGGTTGTGTGCTGCTTTGTCATAGTGAAAAGGAGATACAGTTAATTAATAAAAGTAATTTTGGTTTGCTTTGGGCATTACAAAGGTTCCTGTTCATGGCTGTACCTAATCATTCTTTTCCAGTTTGTCTGTATTTGCTTTTATATCTGACTGAAATTATCTCTGTAGTTAACAATTTGGCTTTATGTGAAAGTTCCTTTTAGAAAAGGAGAGGTGTGTTGTTCCTGTTCACAAAAGTGTCTGTATACTTTATAATTGGATAGTGATGAAATGCTAACTTGAGTTTTTAATCTGGCATCTCTTTAAAGAAAAAAAGCACAGTTTTTATTTCTATTAGTTTTAAATATAGAAGGATGTATAATGTAAATAATTTATATTTTTAATTTATTGTGACTTGATACTCTTGATATCATTGACTTCATTTCAGTTCTTTGCTGTGAGATCCATTCAATAAAATAACAAAAAGTTGTCTTTAGGTATTGCATTTGGTTTACTCATTTTTATTCCTAAAAGAGCCCTGTGCAGTAGGATTTTTCTTTTTACTGTTACTGCCCACTAGCTTAACAACTGCTTATGTGAACAGTGTGGCAGTTTTTATGCTTCTGCCAGAGGACAACTTAATATGAAAATAGATGTTTTATTCACCTCAACACAGAGTAGTCTTTCAGGTTAGTGATTGGGGGTGGAGGGGTAGGTTCTTATACTTTCCCCCTATGAATAGCTATGTGTATTTGCATATTTATTTAAAATCTTCCCTGCCCTAACCCTGCCACTATTTGACCATTTCTTCCAACATAATTTTCACATCCAAGTCAGAGAGCACACTCTCTGTTTCCTATTTCATGACTTTTAAGTATTAAATAAGAAAATAGATGTCAAAGTAGATACAAATACTATTTTAATGATTTATGTTGTTATCTGATAGACATTTCAGGAAACATTTAGCATCTATCACGGTGAGATAGAAAACTTATCAAGAAATAAATGCTATTTATAGAACAGAACCATTCTAACAGATAACTGTAAAACATATACCCCATTGACAGTTGGGTTACCACTGTGTTCCTATGGAAAAAAGGTTTTGTATATTTGAGATTTCAGTTTGAGGATAAATCTGAGGCACATTGAGATAATAGTGACATATATCATATTTGATAGCATTGTGAGAAAATGTCAGTTATTCTTTTGATTACCTCTATTTCAAACCTTAGTTTATAGGGTATAGAGTGCTTCTCGTGCTGAACATTGGTGAATAGATTAGCTTGCTATGATAGCTCTGTCATTCAGAGCTATATAACATTTATAAACTAGCAAATACCTTCATTGATTCCAAACCTTATTTCTCATATGATTTTTTGTCTTGATACCCAGGACAGGCAAGTCGCAGCAGTAGTATCACTTTCTAACAGATAAAGGTGATTTACTTCAAAGTACAACATACTGTATCTTAGAATTATTAATGCAAACACAGTATCTCAATCCTCTGTGGCTTTTAGATTTCATATATTAATTTAGCAAGTATTTATTGAGCACTTACTATGTGCCAGGCACTACTCGAGGCATTCGGGATAGTTCAGTAAATAGAGACAAAATCCCTAACATTTAGAGGCTTATAGATAGTCTAGTGAAGTAACAGACAGCCATGAGCATAAGCAAATTACATAGTATGTTAAGAGAGAAATACTGTGGAGGGAAAAGTGGAGCCAGATAAGGGGGGATAAATGTTGAGATAGTGGGTTTATTTTAAATAAAATCTCATAAATATGTGACATTTAAAGACTTGAAGGAAGTGAGGGAGTTGACCATGCAGCTCTTTGGGGAACAATGTTCCAGATAAAAAGAATAGTCACGAGTGTGGCTGACCTGTTGAGGAATATCAAGGAAGCCCTTGAAAGAACAGTGAGAGAGGGAGCAATAGAATAGTAGAAGATGAAGTTGAAGGGGAAAAGGGGAGACAGATCATGGAAAGCTTTGATAGGATATTATAAGGACTTTGTTTTTTACTCAGGGTAAAATAGTCATTGCAGGATTTTAAGCATTATTTGACTGGAAGCCGGGCTGTCATCGTTTCGGTAGTGTGGGAATCTCAGCTTTGGAAACCATAGAGAAAATGAGTTTAGGAGTCTAAAAGTGTCATGCAAACCAAAAATGAATCATCCTCTCTTCACATTCACCAAGCACCTTGTTCTTCAGAGATGTAAGGGTGCTGATGCCTTCCAGGGTTTGGTGATCCTGTCAGTTTGTTGTGACTTCCTTTGCTAAGCCTTGGATTTCACTTTTTTCTGGTGTCTCTTCCTAGTAGTTCATCTTTCTAACTTCAGTGTTGTCTTCTTGCCTGTTCTGTTGTTCTTTGTCATTTTATTGGATATTTTAGGAGAGAATAGAGATACGTTTATCATTCATGAAGTAGAACCAGAAAACTAATAACTTATTTTCCAATGTGAGTAGTAAAAACCTCTGAGATAACTTGTGCTGAAACTCCACTTGACATTCTAAAGGTTTTGCTAGAATTATTTACAGTTGATAAATAATACCATGAAACACAAGTCAGCCTCTTAAACTTTTTAAACTTAAAGTATATCCACTCATGGCAGTAGGAAAAGGATAATCACTTTAATTGTATAAAGGTGTAAAGGTATAAATTGTGTAGAAGTAGATATAAATTTTATAAAGGTATATAAAGGTATAACTTGTATAAAAGTACAGTAGTCTCACTGTTTAGCACAAATTTTGAGAGTTCCTGTGCTGAAGCAGTTTAGATATGAATCCCTTTCAAGTAAATGAATTTGTACAGGTTAATGCACTTGAGTATTTGGAAATGGAGCCGGTTACCAAAAGACAACACATTTTGGTGAAAGACTGTGAGACCAGGATTTTAGCTCCATTTCTTGGTTGCTGAATTTGAGACTTCAGTAAATCACATAATCTTTCTATGCCTCAGTTTCTTCATTTGTCAAATGGAGGATTGCAAGTTAGATCATCTCTAAATAATTTTATAAGAAAATAATTCTGAAAACTTTATGATAGTCACTTTAGAAATTTTTATGCTTTTATGGAGAATATAATTAATTTTTCTAATTTTTTTTATGCAGGTTAATGGTGCAATGTAAGAAACCTTTAAAAGTTTCTGATGAATTAGTGCAGCAATATCAAATTAAAAATCAGTATCTTTCAGCAATAGCATCTGATTCAGAACAAGAACCTAAAATTGATCCATATGCATTCGTTGAAGGAGATGAGGAATTCCTTTTTCCTGATAAGAAAGATAGACAAAATAATGAAAGAGAAGCTGGGAAAAAACACAAGGTGAGTAAGAGAAAGTACACCAAAGCATCACTGATGTTTTGTAGCTCTGCATATGGTACCACAATTCTCATTTTAAAAAAAGATTCTTCATTTTAACTTAGAAAAAAATTTCTTAAAAATAGATTAATCAGGCACATTGTACAAAATTTAAGAGCTTATATGGCTTTGAAATTATTACTGGTCTATGATGATAATGAATATATCTTTATTATAAAAGTTTTGAGATTAGAGAAAAAGGACATTAGTTTGTTATATTGAAATCAGAACACTTAGGTAGATGAACTGCTTTGATTCTGAGTTAAACTATGCTCTAAGTGAATTAACAGTTTTCAAAAATGCAGTAAAATACACATCACTCTGTTTGTAAAATACATGATATTTTGAATATGTGACTCAAGAAGTAAAGTCTTATATTAATAATGTGTCTTAAAAAATTTTTTTAATAAAATATTTGAGGATCTATTAAGCACAAGATAACTGCTAGAGAAGAGTTTTGCCTTAAACACAAAATTGAAAATTGAAGGCTTTAAAATTACAAAAAGGACCCAGTAATATGTTTAATTCAAAGAATTCATTTCACAAAGTTTTGCTTAGCCTTTTTGTGTGCCAGGTACTTGACATTTTGTTCTTTTGTAAATATGAAAACAAGTAGCTGGGAATGTAATAGATTTTGTAGAAAGAACATGGACTTTGAAATTTGACAGATTTAGTTTGAAATCCCAGCTCCACTACTTACTAGTTTATTTCCTGGGTTATCTATAGAAGTATTTTTTGTCTGTAACTTAAGATGAACATACTTACTTGTCCTGTAGATTAGTTGTGAGAGGTATTGATAATGTCTCTAGAACACCCAGCAGAATGATCAATACATCAGTTCAGTCGCTCAGTAGTGTCTGACTCTTTGTGACCCATGGACTGCAGCATGCCAGGCCTCCCTGTCCATCACCAACTCCCGGAGTTTAGTCAGACTCATGTCCATCGAGTCGGTGATGCCATGCAACCATCTCATCCTTTGTTGTCCCCTTCTCTTCCCACCTTCAATCTCTCCCAGCACCAGGGTCTTTTAAATGAGTCAGTTCTTTGCATCAGGTGGCCAAAGTATTGGAGTTTCAGGTTCAGCATCAGTCCTTCCTTTGAATATTCAGAACTGATTTCCTTTAGGATGGACTGTTTGGATCAATACATAGCTACTTAGTAATTGGCATATTTTATTATTGGGAAAATATGTATTTCAATCTAATATGTAATATTGTATGCAGGTAGAAGATGGGCCATCTAGTGTTACAGTGTTATCACATGAAGAAGATGCTATGTCATTATTTAGTCCGTCTATCAAGCAAGGTAAAACTTATTTTCCAGTCAAAGTACTGCATTCCAGGATTGTTACTTTAAAGTAATCTGATATTGTTGGACTTTTAGTATTCCTTTTTGCATAGTTCATGTTTCATAGAAAGGGACTAATCTTAAAATGATGGATTTTAAGAAGGAGCCTCAGGTGATAGAAATACTGTTTTGAATTGTGGAGCTTCTTTCCTTTGTTTAACAAATAAAAATAACTCCCTTATCTGTAAAAGAAGGAGATAGGATAAGATCATTACCTAAGATCCCTCTCAGTTATAGAAACTCAGTTTATAAATTAGACTTTACTGTAATTTGGTTGTCCTTTTCTCCCCCTCCCCCCAAGTTAGAACAATTATTGCTGAGCTCCTTATATTAACGTAGTTTTCTAGCAGTGTTCTCAGCACTGGAGGTACACTGAAGACTCCACTTTGAAAGCATCTGATTTGTCCTCCTTGTAAGTAGAAAAGAGAGACAGGTTGTATTGTTTCTTTTACAAGATCTGTTTAACTTCTGATGGAGGCAAAAGAAATTGTTCTTTGGTATGTGTCTATTAGGGACGAAGTTTTGTTTTAGCATTTGGAATAAATAGGGAGGATCCATCAGACTCTTTGTAGTCAAAAACGAAATAAGAAAAAACATCTATCTGAATAAGAAAGAGATGATGGTCTTTCATGAAATAAATTTAATGGTCAGTGGTTGTAAGTATCTTGGTGAGTTAACTGTTTAGGTTTTTTAGTCTGTTTACCTGCCTTAGGATAAAGGAACTGTGTAATTGTGCCTGTGGTGTGGCTTTCTCAAAATGTGGACCATCTGACACTGAGCATCTTTTGAAGTAAAACTTGGGAATCTTGGTGTATTCCAGATGACTTATACACACTAAAATTTTAGAACTTCTGCTTTAGTGAATCTTTAGGATGGATTTGCAAAGGCACTTGGAAAGTGACTTTAATCTTTCTGAAAGGGAGGGTTGTTTCAAGTCATTTAACCATCCTGAGGATGCTTTGGAAGGTTTATACACCAACTGCTTTTTTTCCCTTGTGTGGGAATGCAAGTGGAATATAACTCTCCTTTGTATTTTTATTTTTTCTATAGTAGTCATATATTTTTCACTAAGACTGGGGAGAAAAGCAAAAAGGAAAATAAAATTTTAGAACTGAAATGAAACTTAACTAAGAGGTAATTAAGTGCGTATTTAAGTTCCTGGCACTGGGCAGAAGTGGTTTATCCATTAATGCGCTCTCACATTTAATTCTTGTCATATTGTCAGTGCTGGCATTGGAACTCAAATTAAGATAGTCTGTCTGACATAACTAGAGAACTTAATTATTCTGTGCTTCCTTTATATTTCAGAAAGATAAACTAAAAATGTCTGTGTTTAATTCTGTTGTCCTTACAGTTTTATTTGATGCATTATTAATGTAGATTACTTAGTTATGTTATGGATTATATAACCTGAGCTTCCTATATATGGTGAGCTTCCTTGGAAAGGTGTCACCATATATTTACAATTTTTATTTCTATTTAAAAAATCTATGGATTTTAAGCAAATCACAATTTCTTATTGCATAATACCCTTACAAATGTAAATGTACATGTCTAGCTTAAATAAATAGAATAATACTTATTTGGTCAGTAGTAGAATTTTTTATTTTGTTTTTCTAATTGCCATCTGTAGATGCTCCCCGCCCTGCTGGTCATGCCCGACCTCCATCAACCAGTTTGATTTATGACTCAGACCTGACTGTCTCTTATACTGACCTTGATAATCTTTTTAATTCTGATGAAGATGAACTGACAGTAAGTATCCTTACTAATGATTACAATTATAATTTATTTTCCTCAGTTTTATAAAAGTTTTTCTTTAGAAGTGATATGTGACTTGAATACTATGTTTTAGCACTGAACGATAGGAAATACTTTGAAATAAAATTTCTATAATTGATGTCGTTTTTTTAACCTCCCTCATGTTTGAGGTGGTATTTTGTTTTTGTTGTTTTGCTTTACTGTGCTGCTTGCAGGATCTTGGTTCCTCAACCAGGGATTGAACCCAGGCCCTTGGCAGTGAAAGTGCAGAGTCCTAATCACTGGACCACCAGAGTTCCCTAAGCATTCCATATATAATGTAACCTAGAAACTTTATAACCTATAAACCTAAAAAACTTAAGGGTTTTTTTTTCCTTTACTTTTTATGTTTGAAGGACATGTATAATTAAGCTTAATTTGATCTTGGCCATATGTTCCTTTTCTGCAGTCCTTAGAAAGCAGAATATTTACCTAATCTTTGATCCTATAATTTTAGAAATGACCTGAGAGTTGACTCAATCAGAGAATAAATAAGTAACATTGAAGTTATATGCCTTGTCAGTTTATTCAGGAATTTGTTTGGTACCACAGTCATTATTATAAGACATCTATATACTATAATAGTGAAAGAGGAAGAAGTATTATTTAATCTTTAACACCCATTTGCAGAGAAAGCTGAAGATAAAAGAAATTAAAGCTTAAAATGAGAGTCCCTAGAATGTGAAATGACAACCCACTCCATTATTCTTGCCTGGAGAATTCCATAGACAAAGGAGCCTGGCAAGCTACAGTCCATGGGGTTGCCAAGAGTCAGACGTGACTGAGCGACTATCACTCAGAATGTGAAATCTCTGGGAAATTAATGAATTGAGTGTTGCATTATAAAAGGGAATTCCTTTTTCATCTGTATAAAGGTAGCTTGGAAACTTCTATCGTACATTTGGTCTCTTCAATTAAGTGATATAATGCAGATATCACTATACATAAACTTCTACTCCACATCCCATAATGTAGTGTAGTTTAGATAACTGTATGCCTGAAAACAGGGCTTCCCTGCTGGCTCAGCAGCAAAGAATCTGCCTGCCAATTCAGGCGATGTGGGGTTGATCCCTGGGTCGGGAACATCCCCTAGAGAAGGAAATGACAGCCCCCTTCAGTATTCCTGCCTGGGAAACGCAATGAATAGAGAACCTGGCAGGCTGCAGTCCATGGAGTCACAAAGAGTCGGACATGATTTAGCAACTAAACCACAGTCCCTGAATACTGTGATACTTTTGTGCTTTTTCCCTGCTGCTGTTCATGTGTCAGTGTTAGAGCTGACAGATTGGTTTCCTTGTATCCTGCTAGCCACTTTGTTTTAGGAACCAAATTGTCAGTTCTAACAACACTGAGGACAGATTGGAGATTTTAAGATTTGTTTTGTTCAATGTATTAAAACTTGCCTTTAGTTAGGGATCCTATTGTTTTGTCATACAAGATCTTTCTGAAGTTTTGCTTAGTTTAACCTTTTGTAGCATATTTGTAGGGGCTAGAAGATTATTAAGAAAGATAAAAATGTAAAAGGAATTTGGAGAGGTTATTGATTATAAAGGAATATTTAATGTCTTTTCTTTAAAGAGACAAATGCTTTATAAGTATCTTTTACTAAGAGGCAGTTCCCAAATTCTGTTAAGTTTTCTTATTATTTTTTTGTTATTTTAATAGGTTTTAATGTATTTTGAAAGTAATGGTTGTTTTCATGAAGGAACTTTTTCCTCTGTCTGTTAATTTGGAGTATTATTATAATCATCAGATAAACTAATCTGGTTTATTGATATGTAAAATTTTTTTATGTCTTCAAATTGCATCTAGTAGATATTTGGCTATGGCACCAATGGGCTCTACTTTCAGATTACATCCAAATGATTACTATCTTGTTCACACTGGATTTAAATTTCAGAGAAATATGTATGTGTATGTGTGTGTTTTTTTTAATAGCCTGGATCTAAAAAATCGGCAAATGGATCAGATGATAAATCCAGCTGCAAGGAATCAAAGACAGGAAATCTGGACCCATTATCTTGCATAAGTAAGCTTACCAAATCTGTATTCCAGATAAATCTGCAAACTTTTAATCTCAATAATATCTCCCATCCCTTTGTTTTATACACAAAATAACTTCTTTTTAGTCTTATGTAGAAATGTGTGTTTTATTAACTATAGGCACTGCAGATCTTCATAAAATGTATCCTACACCACCATCACTGGAACAACATATTATGGGATTTTCCCCAATGAATATGAATAATAAAGAATATGGTAGTATGGATACAACACCTGGAGGAACTGTTCTAGAAGGAAATAGTTCTAGTATAGGAGCGCAGTTCAAAATTGAAGTGGATGAAGGATTCTGTAGCCCCAAACCTTCTGAAATTAAAGTAAGTATTTTATTTTTCTAGAAAAATAATTCACTTCTACATTTTTATATAGAATTGGTTTACTGCCATATTCAAAAATCCTCTCATAATGAAAGAGTAGAACTATATTTACATTTTATTATTCTGTTTAAAAAAGAAAAGTTAGAGTTACTTTGTTTTGTGTTTTTGTTTTCCCTTGAAAGACAAGATGCTGAAAATCGTGTTGTTTATATTATAGGATTTTTCTTATGTGTATAAGCCTGAAAATTGTCAAGTTCTAGTGGGATGTTCCATGTTTGCACCTCTAAAAACTCTACCAAGCCAGTGTCTGCCTCCTATCAAATTGCCAGAAGAGTGTATTTACCGTCAGAGCTGGACTGTTGGAAAGTTAGAATTGCTTTCTTCAGGGCCTACAATGCCATTCATCAAAGAGGGGTATGATTTAAATTTATATGATTGGTATAGTATATGAATACTTGTGTAGCTTTACTTTTTTTTCATCATTAACACCTAGTATATTGGTATCTGGAAAAAGATACTGGTTTTTGATAATTTTTTTAAATTATTTTCTGATTAATAGTTTATAATGGTGTTTGATATGGTTAAAGTAGAGTATTGGAACACTAAAGACCTGAAAACTTTGTATTTGGAAGCATCTTTTGTTTTGGTCTAAAATTCTAATCACACTTATTTTTATATTTGCCATATTTCACACACTTTTTTTTTTCCACACACTTATTATATTTAAAATATCTCTGAAATTGGGGTGTCTTATAATTGGTAACATCTTAAAATTGCCACTGTCCTTTTCTACCCATAAACATCTCTAAAATCAGGTGTTTTTTTTAAACAGTTAGTGGCATCTTAGAATCAATGAAGTGTGAGTATTCCTAGTACAAGAACTGTAGAGATAGTAATCATGGATATATAGATGTGGAACAGTTATATACAAATTTTATTTATTTATTATAGAACTAATTAGTTGGATTTTACCACACAACAATCACCTGGAGTGGATATATTAACCAAACATATATTTTAATTGTACTTACAATTTTTGGACCAATTGTGTTTTCATAATTTTCAGTGTTACTGAGAAATATTTGGGAAATCTCTAGTTGTATTTCACCTTACTAATATGTTCCTTTATGTATGTTTTTTTATTTTCTTTTCCCCTGATGACGCTAGTGATGGAAGTACTATGGATCAAGAATATGGCCCTGCTTATACACCTCAAACTCATACTTCCTTTGGGATGCCTCCTAGCAGTGCACCTCCTAGTAACAGTGGAGCAGGAATTCTTCCTTCTCCGTCTACCCCTAGGTTTCCAACTCCAAGGACCCCAAGGACTCCAAGGACTCCTCGTGGAGCTGGTGGACCGGCTAGTGCTCAAGGTTCAGTCAAATATGAAAATTCAGACTTATATTCACCAGCCTCCACCCCATCCACCTGCAGACCCCTTAATTCTGTTGAACCTGCAACTGTTCCTTCCATCCCTGAAGCACACAGTCTTTATGTAAACCTCATTCTTTCAGAATCAGTTATGAATTTGTTTAAAGACTGTAACTTTGATAGTTGCTGTATCTGTGTTTGCAACATGAATATCAAGGGTGCCGATGTTGGAGTTTACATTCCAGATCCAACACAGGAAGCACAGTATAGGTGTACTTGTGGCTTCAGTGCTGTCATGAACAGGAAATTCGGAAACAATTCAGGATTATTTCTAGAAGATGAACTAGATATCATAGGACGCAACACAGAATGTGGCAAAGAAGCAGAAAAACGTTTTGAAGCTCTCAGGGCTACTTCTGCTGAACATGTTAATGGAGGACTAAAGGAATCCGAAAAATTGCCTGATGAATTGATACTATTGCTACAAGATCAGTGCACTAATTTATTTTCACCTTTTGGAGCTGCAGACCAAGATCCCTTTCCCAAAATTGGTGTAACTAACAATTGGGTACGTGTTGAAGAGCGGGACTGTTGCAATGACTGCTACCTTGCATTGGAACATGGGCGTCAGTTCATGGATAACATGTCAGGAGGCAAAGTTGATGAAGCACTTGTGAAAAGTTCATGCTTACACCCCTGGTCCAAAAGAAATGGTAAGTATGCTAATGAAGTAATTTTTCCATTTTGTTTTAGTTGTATGACTTTTTCTTCTTAAGAAAAGGTAATAAAGACAGTTTCCCATTTAGCTGATAGACACTTAAATGTGCACTTAAAACTCCTTCAAGAATGACACTTTTAAAGGAAGAACTTCCGAGTAGTTTAGTTTAATTTCAGCAACAAAAGTATGGTTATTATAAGTCTGTAATTATGTACTTGTGTAGGAGTATAAAAGGTACTTTGCACATGTTAATTAGCAGAAAATTGCTGGTTGTCTGCTTTGTTCAGGATTCTTTTACTCATTAAATATTTATTGAGCAACTAGTATGTGCCAGGGACTGTTCCTTTATAAACTACAGTATTAAAGCAAATGTATTTCCTGCCCTTTCTGAGCCTAAAAGACTCAAAATAACAAATTTAAATGAAAGTAATTATATGGTGACAGCTGCTTTGAGGGAAAAGCAGGGAAAGGAGTGGAAAAAGACAGGACAGAAATGTGTTACTTCAGAGGTATGTTTAGAGAAGATATTACTGAGGGACAACATTTGAGCAAAGACCTACATAGAGACGGGGAATGTAAGCTGTGTGGCTAAACGAAAGAAGTGTTTGCAGAGAGTGCAGAGACCGCGAGTAATGTGCTTAATGTTTGAGAAACAGTAAAGAGGCACTGTTGCTGGAATGAGTTGGGCGATGGGGGGACTGGTAGCAGTTGGAAGTCTAAGAGATGGCTGAGCACCAATGTCATGTGGAGTCTGATGCACCATGTTTAACTGTGGCCTTTATAGTTTATTCCGAGATGGCTAGGACAGTTTTGAGCAAAGAAGTAAGATGATCCTTACTTATCCAAGTGCATATTTGGAAATACAAGTTTTAAATTGAGAAGAGTGGTTGGGGATAGAGATTAAAAAATTGTGTGTGTGTGTGTTATCAGTGTTTTGAGGCTTCCCAGTGATAGCTCAGTGGGTAAAGAATCCACCTGCAATGCAGAAGACATGAGACGTGGGTTCGATCCCTGGATTGGGAAGATCCCTTGGAGGAGGAAATTGCAAGCCACTCTAGTATTCATGCCTGGAAAATTCCATGGACAGAGGAGCCTGTTAGGGGGTCGCAACCCCTCCTCCATGGGGTCGCAAAGAGTTGGACATGACTGAGCACATGACACCTCCCTGGCACCTATCAGTGTTTTAAACTGTGTAGCTGAATGGAAAAGTAATGTCTCTGCTTTTCAATATGCTGTCTAGGTTGGTCATAACTTTCCTTCCAAGGAGAAAGCGTCTTAATTTCATGGCTGCAGTCACCATCTGCAGTGATTTTGGAGCACAGAAAAATAAAGTCAGCCACTGTTTCCCCATCTATTTGCCATGAAGTGATGGGACCAGATGCCATGATCTTAGTTTTCTGAATATTGAGCTTTAAGCCAACTTTTTCACTCTCCTCTTTCACCTTCATCAAGAGGCTTTTTAGTTCCTCTTCACTTTCTACCATAAGGGTGGTGTCATCTGCATAACTGAGGTTATTGATATTTCTCCCGGCAATCTTGATTGCACCCTCTGCTTCCTCCAGCCCAGCATTTCTCATGATGTACTCTGCATATAAGTTAAATAAGCAGGGTGAGAATATATAGACTTGACGTACTCCTTTTCCTATTTGGAACTATTCTGTTGTTCCATGTCCAGTTCTAACTGTTGCTTCCTGACCTGCATACAGGTTTCTCAAGAGGCAGGTCAGGTGGGCTGGTATTCACATCTCTTTTGGAATTTTCCACAGTTTATTGTGATCCACGCAGTCAAAGGCTTTGGCATAGTCAGTAAAGCAGAAACAGAAACATATGCAGAGTACATCATGCAAAATCCCAGGCTGGATGAAATGCAAGCTGAAATCAAGATTGCTGGGAGAAATGTCAACAACCTCAGATACGCAGATGACACCACCCTATAGCAGAAAGTGAAGAGGAACTAAAGAGCCTCTTGATGGAGGTGATAGAGGAGTTTGCTGGCTTAAAACTCAACATTCAAAAAACAAAGATTATGGCATTTGGTCCCGTCACTTCATGGCAAATAGATGGGGAAACAGTGACAGATTATTTTCTCGGGCTCCAAAATCACTGCAGATGATGACTGCAGCCATGGAATTAAAAGACGCTTGGTCCTTGGAAGACAAGCTATGACCAACCTAGACAGCATATTAAAAAGCAGACTACCAGTTTGCTGACAAAAGTCCATATAGTCAAAGCTACGGTTTTTTCCACTAATCATGTATGGATGTGAAAGTTTGACTGTAAAGAAGGTTGAGTGCCAAAGAACTGATGTTTTTGAATTGTGGTGCTGGAGAAGACTGTTGAGAGTCCCTTGAACAGCAAGGAGATCTAATCAGTCAGTCCTGAAGGAAATTAATCCTAAGTCTTCATTGGAAGGACTGATGCTGAAGCTGAAGCTCCAGTACTTTGGCCACCTGATGCAAAGAGCTGACTGACTGGAGAAGACCCTGATGCTGGGAAAGATTGAGGGCAGGAGGAGAAGGGGACGACAGAGTGAGATGGTTGAATGGCATCATTTACTCAATGGACATGAGTTTGAGCAAACTCTGGGAGATGGTGAAGGACAGGGAAGCCTGGTGTGCTGCAGTCCGTGCGGCTACAGAGTCTGGCACGACTGAGCAGCTGAACAACAGCAGCAGTGGCAATACTGGGTGGTTTACCTAGGGAGTGCTGTGTTTATCACAACAAGGACTGACATGGCAGACAGCTCTGCGGCCATGAAGATGGGTTTTATCCTAAGGACTTACACTGAGAAAATAATTCAAAACAAGAAATAGCTTTATATTTCAGTTTAAAGTTTCGATACAAAGACATGCTATAAAACCTAAATTTGCAATCTTGGAGTACTTTTTCATTAAATCATAACAGCTTCATTAAATAGTAGCAAGCTCCTATTTAATACACTAGTACCTTTGCCCCAATTGTTTTCTTCTGCTTGGGACAGAATAGCTGTTCTTCCAGGTTTACATGAATAACGCTCTCATCTCTTTACTTCTGTCAGAGGCATCTCAGTGTAAAATTGCAGACCTCTCTTTATCTTCCCCGTACTGCTCCTTTTCCTTTCTCCCCCTCTGTCCAGTCCAGTCCAGCTCAGTCCAGTCGCTCAGTCGTGTCTGGCTCTGCAACCCCATGAATCGCAGCACGCCAGGCCTCTCTGTCCACCACCAACTCCCGGAGCTTACTCAAACCCGTGTCCATCGAGTCGGTGACGCCATCCAGCCATCTCATCCTCTGTCGTCCCCTTCTCCCACCCTAATCCCTCCCAGCATCAGGGTCTTTCCCAGTGAGTCAACTCTTCACGTGAGGTGGCCTCCTCCTCCTAGTGTTTCTCCCCCTAGTGTTTGCTTATTACCTTCTAAGCATATTGCATAATGTATTAATTATTATCTCTCACCCCATTAAGTTCCCTCTGTGCAAGTTCTGTGTACAAGAAAAGATTTTTGTCTGTTTTGTTTGTTATGTCCAAATACCTAAAATAGTACCTGGTAGTAGATGGCAGGTAGTAGATGTCCAGAAGTCCAAGGTGTTGAAATATTTGTTAGAATTAAGAGTTCTTAATTTAATGGTAATGTTTATTTTTCTCAAAATAGGAAAAGCTTTGTTCTAATTATAAAAAATACATACTTTCTGAAAAGAAAGTTAAGAATCTAATATAGATGAATAGATGTAAAAATTGCCCCAGCCCCATCATTACACCACTGCATGATCACTCATCTCTGAGCAACTTTGGCATATCATACAATTCATCCTTTTGACGTGAACAACTGAATGGTTTTTAGTTAGCACAGCATCACCACAATCAATTTTAGGACATTTTCATCATCACCAAAATCTGTATTTATTAGTGATCACTCCTGTTTTCCACCAACCACCTCCTCCCTCCTTGCACTGGGCAACTACCAGTCTACTTTCTGTCTTTATAGATTTGCCTCTTTTATATATTCCATGTAAATAATATTTTATGCTATATAGTCTTTTGTGATTGACTTCTTTTACTTAGGGTAATTTTTCAGGGTTCATCCAGGTTTTAGCATGGGTTAGTACTTAATTCATTTTTATTGCCAAATAAGATTCTATTTATGCATATACCACATTTTATTTACCCATTCATCTGTTGATGGGCATTTGGATTGTTTCCCCTCTTTGGCTGATATGAATAATGATACACTGAACATTTGTGTACAAGTTTTTGTGTAAACATATATTTTTATTAGTCTTGAGTGAACTTGATAATTCTCTTTTACCTTCTGAGAAATTGCCAGACTCTTTTCTAAAGCAGCTGCTCCCTTTTACATTCCCATTGCAGTGTGTGAGGGTTCCACTTTTCACATTCTCATTAACACTTGTCATCATGCATTTGTAATTATTACCATCATCATCATCATCATCATCATACTGGATTGTGAAGTATTATCTCATTATCATTTTGATTTGCATTTCCCTAATGACTAATGATGCTGAGTGTCTTTTCATGTGTTTATTGCCTGTTTGTATTTTTTCTTTGGAGAAGTGTCTTTTCAGATCCTTTGCCCATTTTTAAGTTAGGTTTTTTGTTCTTTTCATTATTGAGTTGTGAGTGTTCTTTATATCTTTTAGATATAAGTTTCTTAACACCTGCACGTATTTTCTCCTTTTCGCTGGTTTGTCTTTTCACTTTCTTGATGGTGTCATTTGAAGCAGAAGAGTTTTTAATTTTGATGAAGTTCAGTGTATTACTCTCTCTTGTACTTTTGGTTTGTACTTTTGGTTCGTACTTTTGGTGCCATATCTAAAAAGACTTTAATCCTAAGTCATGAAAATTTACTTCTATTTTTTTTCTATGAGTTTTATTGTTTTATCACATATTTACATCTATGATCCATTCTGAATTAACTTTGGTATATCATGTAAGGAAGAGTTTCAGTTTTATTCTTTTGCACATGAATATCCAATTGCCCTAGAACCGTTTGTTGAAAAGATTATCTTTTCACATTAAATTGTGTTGGCACCTTTGTCAAAAATCAATTGACTGTAAATACGAAGTTTTATTTCTGGATGCTTATTTCTGTTCTACTCAACAGAATATCTATTCTTCATGATCACTCTTAAAAATTAATATATTCTAAAACCATTGCTTTCCAACCAGATTTCAGCTTTGAGACTTTGCACTTGTCATAATATGCAGTTATATTCTTTTTCATGCATTCCCCCCCACAAGATGGTAAGATCCCTGAAGACATGGATAAGAATGTATTTCACAGTATTCCCATCAGCTAGCATAATTCCTGAACCATAGTAGGTCTTTGTTATATGTTTTTTATAATGAAAGATTGTGAATGAGAATCTCTCTGAATTAAAATCAAACTGTAAATTCCTGAACTTTATTCAGATCAGAATTTCTCAGGGTAAGCTCTGTATATGTGTTTTATAAAAGTTCCCCATTTGATTATGATAAACAGCCTTAGCCAGTGACAGCTTTTTCTAGATTTTATGTAAACACATATCAATACACAGTTCTATTTGTGTAAAATATCTTCCAGTTTTAAAACCTGTTTTTTATTTACTAGTGTATTATCAGTCCACTCTAAATAGCTCTTATCACTTTTAAATAGTATTTTGTTATGTATATACTAGTTTATGAAGTATAATAATTATTCAATAGTATATCTGAAATTAAATTATTTCTGATTCTGTACACTATTTATAAATATAGGGAATTAAAGCAAGAAATTATAAATTAGGCAATAATAATAATGAATTAAAGTTGAATGATTTAATGTAACAGAGTGCTCAAAGAAGATTTAATGATACAACTGAACCATGCTCAAGGGACAGATTAATTATATTAGGAAGATTTCATGGTTTTTTAAAAAGTCATTTGATGTTTAAGAGCATCACCTTTCATATCCATTCTGATAGTTGGTCAGAAATGTGGATCATAATAATTTGATAATCTGTAAATCTATTAAATCTAGGTTTATAAAAATATGTGTGGGTATTTAAGTCTAGGTTTATAAAGTATGTGTGGGAATTATGACACTGTCTAGCAGTGTGAACAAGTTTATCTGTTACTATGCAAATTGTATACTTTAGAATTGTTACAGTTTACTATTTTTCACAAATTAAACTTTAATCATTGTAACCAGTGTTATCTATCTGATCTTTTTACCAAAGTAGAGGTATATAAAGTGGATAATTAATAACCCATTTCTGTATGAGGTAGTGTTCTTTCTACTAAGGTACCTATGAGCACCAAAGAAAATCAAAATAAATGCAAAAAGGAAGAAATTGATTTGGCTTATAAATCAGTTAATGAGCTAATGAATGACTTTATAAAGTTACGATAAATTTTTTATTATGTTTCTTCTTGGTTTTAAATACCTAGAAAAATCATCTCTGTAGGTGATTCTAGTGATAAAGAACCTGCCTGTGAATGCAGGAGACATAAGAGGCATGGGTTCAGTTGGTTCAGGAAGATCCCCTGGAGGAGGGCATGGCAACCCACTCCAGTATTCTTGCCTGGAGAATCCCATGGACAGGATCCTGGCAGGCTACAGTCTTTAGGGTTGCAAAGAGTCGGACACAACTGAAATGACTTAGCATGCACACACATCATCATCTACACAAGCAGATGCTTATATATATGGAATTTAGAAAGATGGTAACGATAACCCTATATGCAGGACAGAAAAAGAGACACAGATGTCTAGAACAGACTTTTGGACTCTGTGGGAGAAGGCGAGGGTGGGATGATCTGAGAGAATAGCACTGAAACATGTATATTATCAAGTGTAAAACAGATCGCCAGCCCAGGTTGGATGCATGAGAGAAGTGCTCAGGGCTGGTGCACTGGGATGACCCAGAGGGATGAGATGGGGACGGAGGTGGGAGGGGGGATCGGGATGGGGAACACATGTAAATCCATGGCTGATTCATGTCAATGTATGGCAAAAACCACTATAATATTGTAAAGTAATTAACCTCCAACTAAAAATGAATGAAAGAAAAAAAAAAACACAAGCAGATGCTTGATCTTGGTGATGTAGAGCTGAACTTTCCTAGATGGATTTCTTGTTATCTTAAAATTTTTTTGTGTTGACAATAGCAATTCTTCTTTTTTTAATGGTTGTAGATGTGAGTGTGCAGTGCTCACAGGATATACTTCGAATGCTCCTATCGCTTCAGCCAGTTCTTCAGGATGCTATTCAGAAAAAAAGAACAGTAAGGCCTTGGGGGGTTCAAGGTCCTCTCACTTGGCAACAATTTCATAAAATGGCTGGCCGAGGCTCTTATGGTAAGTAATTTACAATCATATGTATTGACTTATTTCATATCAGTTCTCAATATCTTTACCCAACTTTAATAAGCATGTTTATCTTCCTTATTTCTGTGCCATATGCTTGATTTAAGGCCATTGTGGTCAATCTCAGCCTTCCTCACTTGAAACATTTTCAGCATTCAGTTTACTGAATTTTGCAACCTCACTTTAGAAAGAACAGCTTGCTCTTACATGTTACACTGACCAGTAAGATTCTATGCTAAGAAAGAATCATAATGCCAAGTTTTTTAAAAGGATTGATATACTACTTTTCTTGTAAGTTACCATTTTACATACAAAATTGAATGAAAAATGAGATAAAAAGAAAAGGATAATGCTAGTGATAAGAGGCCAAAGGTCTTCCTTTAGAAAAAAAAAAACCATGAAATTTGCCAGTTGTGACAAGAGTAACTCCCACGTAGTACACAGTAGATTTGTGATCAACTGTAATGTATTAAGTATTCAAAATACTTAAACTATCTGTTGAACATTGTCTCTAGAGGGGAAAAAATTGTCTGTGAAAGGTGAGATGTAATTGGAACTTTAAAATATATTTGGAATAACAGTTTTTAGCATTGAAATCCTTGACTTATTTGCATGGTTTTAGAATGCATCATGTACAGAAGTAGTAGATTTGCTCATATTTTCCTTTTCCTCCTTTTATTAATGGAGGAATAATTTAAATAATTTAAATTTCATTAAAAAAAAAAGATACTCCGGGCTTCCCTGGTGACTCAGTGGTTAAGAACCTGCCTGCCAGTGCAGAGGACACAGGTTCTATCCCTGGTCCTTGAAGATCCCACAAGCCGCAGAGCAACTAAGCACATAAGCTAGCACTCTAGAGCCTGTGACCGGCAACTATGGAAGTCCAGGTGCCTAGAGTCCATGCTCTGCAACAAGAGAAATCATTGCAATGAGAATCCTATGCACTACAACTAGAGTAACCCCCGCTCGCTGCAATTAGAGAAAGCCTGTGTGCAACAACAAAGACGCAATTATAAAAAAAAAAACAACTTGATACTCAGTGAAAACTGCAGTTTAATGATAGTACTTTTAGTTTCTTTTAATTTTTTTCTGTTTTTTTAAAAATAATTTTATTGGCATATAGTTGGTTTACAATGTGTTAGTTTCAGGTGTGCAACAAAATGATTCAGTTATACATATATTTATTCTTTTTTAGATTGTTTTCTCATATAGATCATCACAGAATCTTGAGTGGGGTTATATAGTAGGTCCTTGTTGATTATGTATAGTAGTGTGTATATCACAAGCTTCCGATTTATCCCTTCCCCCTCCATTTCCCCTTTAGTAATGGTAAGTTTGTTTTCAACATATGTAAGTATGTTTCTGTTTTTGCAAATAAGTTGATTTATATCTTTTTTAAGTAGACGCCATAGCTGAGTAATATCATATGATATTTGTCTTTCTCTGTCTGACTTATTTAGTATAATAATTTCTAGGTCCATGCATGTTGCTGCAAATGGGATTCTTTCATTCTTTTTTATTGCTGAGTAATATTCCCATTGTAGGGCTTTCCCGGTGGCACTAGAGGTAAAGAACCCACTTGCCAGTGCAGGAGACATAAGAGATCTGGGTTCAATCCCTGGGTTGGAAAGGTCCCCTGGAGAAGGGCATGGCAACCTACTCCAGTATTCTTACCTGGAGAATCCTGTGGACAGAGGAGCCTGGCGGGCTACGGTCCATAGGGTTGCACAGAGTCAGACATGACTGAAGCGACTTAGCACACAGCACACACACGTTCCATTGTATATATATGTACTGAGCTTCCCAAGTAGGTCAGTGGTAGAGAATCTGCCTGCCACACAGGAGACCCAGGTCCAATCCCTGGTCAGGAAGATCCTCTGGAGAAGGAAATGGCAATCCACTCCCATATTCTTTTCTTTTTTTTTTTTTTTCTTTTTAACGCCAGTATTCTTGCCTGAGAATCTCATGGACAGAGGAGCCTGGTGGGCCACAGTCCATAGGGTTGCAAAGAGTCAGACACGACTTAGCAACTAAACAACAATATTTGTACCATGTCTTCTTTATCCATTTCTTTTTCAATGGACATTTAGATTGCTTCCATGCCTCGGCTGTTGTAAATAGTGCTGCCATGAACACTGGGGTGCATGTATCCTTTGGGATTATGATTTTCTCCAGATACATGCTCAGGAGTGGGATTGCTGGATCATATGGTATTTCTAAGTTTTTTGAGGACCTTTCATATTGTTCTCCATAATGGTTATACCAATTTGCATTCCCACATACAGTGTAGCAGGGTTCCCTTTTCTCCATACTCTTTCCAGCATTTGTTGTTTTAGTATTTTTACATTGTTTTTAAAAGTCAAAATGGTAGACACAGAGTTCTGCACCTTACTGATCAGTAACATAAGGAGCTGTCTCTTTTTTTTTTTAAAGGCTGCATATAGCTCGGGCCTGGTGCACTGGGAAGACCCAGATGGATTGGGTGGAGAGGGAGGTGGGAGGGGGGACCGGGATGGGGAATACATGTAAATCCATGGCTAATTCATTTCAATGTATGACAAAAACCACTGCAATGATGTAAAGTAATTAGCCTCCAACTAATAAAAATAAATGAAAAAAAAATTAAAAAAAAAAAGGCTGCATATATTCCCTTATTCTTTACACATGATGTAATTTTTACCAGTCTACTGTTTATGGATATATATTGATTACATCATTATCATTACAACTATTTTTCTATAATGTACGCAATCCCTGGCTTAAAGCATGTGTGTATTTTTTTTTAAAAAAAAGTATTGCCAAATTGCTCCTTGGCATAGCAGTCTAAACTCCCACCAATAAAATGCCTGTTTCCCCAAACCTATGCCAGTAAGGTGCTGAGTAGATCGGAGAAAATGGTGTGTTTCTTTATAGTTTGAATGGTAGAACGGTACAGACTGTAAGGGTAGATATCCTGAATTCTAATCCCATCTGTGCCACTTCTTGTGTGACACTGGACAAGTTATTAACTCTTCTATTCCTGCTTTCTCACCTCTGAAATCAAGTTAATATTGGTGTCTGCCTCATGGTTTTCATGGGGTTAAGTTACTTAATATATGTAAAGATCTTTGAACATTATCTGGCACGTAGCACTTGCTATTAATTATTTTAAATTCCTTGCTCTTAATGAGATTGAGCATCTTTTTATGTGTAAGGTATTTCTGGGTTTTGTTAACTTTGATATTTCTGGATTTTGTGAACTTTGTTCATATCCTTTGCCCATATTTCTGTTATGATGTTGATCATTTTCTTATGGATTTATAAGTTCCCTTTCTATGGTAAGGGAATTAACCTTTTGTTATATGTGTTGCAAATCTTTTCTTCCATTTTGTTTTTAATTGTTTGGCTTTGTTAGTAGTGTTTTTTCATGCCACAATTTAAAATTTATATTGTCAGATTAATCATTTTTATTATTTTTTAGTTTTAAATTTTATTTTCATTATTAATTTTTGCCCTTGCTGTTTCTTCATTGCTGTGTGTGGACTTTTATCTAGTTGCAGTGAGTGGGGTTACTCTCTAGTTGTGGTGTGCAGGCTTCTCATTGCTGTGGTTTCTCTTGTTACAGAGCATGGGCTCTAGGTGCGTGGGCTTCAGTAGTTGTAACACATGGGCTTGTTGTCCCCTGGCATGTGGAATATTCTCAGACCAGGCATTGAACCCACGTCCCCTGCACTGGCAGGTGGATTCTTGACTACTGGACCACCAGAGAAGTCCAGATTGATCGGTTGATAAATGTACGGGTTTTACATTATGCCTGCAAAGATTTTCTCTAGTCTAAATTGATGATATTGGTTGAAAGGGATTAACAGGTACAAACTTCCAACTATAAAATAAATAAATCATGGGGTTGTAATGTACACATGGGGAATTCAGTCAGTAAAATTATAACAACTTTGTGTGGTAACGAATAATAACATCTTATTTTGGTGATTACTTTATAACGTATAAAAATGTGAAATCACTATGTTGTACACCTGAAACTAATATTTTAAAAAGCTCTGCCTCCCATATTTTCTTTTGTACTGATAAGTTTTTCATCCAAATTAGTTTTTTTCATTTAAGTGAAGTTGTAAGTCACATGTTTCATACAGATTGTTTAGTAAATTTCTAACTGTAAAAGTCTCAATCGCTGACTTTTAGGCATTTTTGTCTTTAACTAAATATTTTTACTGCTAATAATAACTTCACTAACTCTTGACATTTAAATGTTCCTCTTTTAGATCTTTTCTTAAAATATGTCTTTTCTTATTTAGGAACTGATGAATCCCCAGAACCACTGCCAATCCCCACGTTTTTGTTGGGTTATGATTTTGATTTTCTGGTGCTTTCTCCATTTGCTCTCCCTTATTGGGAGAGACTTATGCTGGAACCCTATGGATCTCAAAGAGATATAGCCTATGTTGTACTCTGTCCAGAAAATGAAGCCTTGTTAAATGGAGCCAAAAGCTTTTTTAGAGATCTTACTGCAATATATGAGGTAGGTGCTTTAAAAGGTCGTTTTAAAACACCTTATGATTTGTATGTTTATATATAAAATATACTGAATATTTCAGTTGATTGGTAAAGAAGAATAATGATGTCAGGCTAGATGTTTAGTTCTTGTACCAGCAGGTTACATTCTTTACAGCTTTGACCCAGATCCTTTGTTAGATGTGTGTGCCATGACTCACAATGGAAGTTGCTATACTGAGGGGAAAACATTGGGTGCATATACATCACATTTAAGATAATCTTTTTCTGAAGGAAAGGGTAATGTTGTTAAATGGCTAGGAAAAAAATTACATTTTAAAAAATTCTAGTCTTAAAAAAAAAGAATTATTGTCTTCATTCTCCAGGACCTCAGGTTCTTACTTTGCTCATTGTAAAATACAGCTATGATAGGCCTCTCTAAGACTCATTTTCTTTCTGAAATTCTTGGCTGGTCTTTCTTTTAAGTTATAATTCTTATGTTGTATCGATCATTGAGAGCAATGATTATAAATTTTAAGTACTCTGGAACATAAAGTCTTCATTTTATAGTCATTCCTGAGTATCCTGAGGGTATTGATTCTAGGATCCCTTGCAGATACCAAAGTCTATGGATGCCCAATCTCCTATATAAAATGTGATAGTATTTGCATATAATCTACACACATCCTCACTTATACTTTAAATCTTCTCTGGATTACTTACAATATCTAATGCTATGTAAGTAGTTGCAGATGTGGGAATTCAAGTTTTGCTTTTTGGACCTTTTTTGATTTTTTTTTTTTAATATTTTTGATCCATGGTTGGTTGTATCTGTGGTTGCGGAACCTAAGAATATGAAGGACCAGTGGTATTTTCCTTTTCCTACAAATACTTGGAAGTCTAGTCTTTAAAATTTCTTTTAAAATCTGAATCATTATTTTGTGCCAGTTTCATTCCTCATTAATGTTCTACTTAATAATTGCAAGGTATCTGTAATGCGTCTTGTAAAAGTAAGTACTTCCAAAGAGTGTTATTTAGAACACTAGTCCTGCAAAATCTTCCGAGAAAAAAATTCCATAGTTAGATGGTTTTGGGGAGACAGTGTGTATCTGTTTACCTTTTAGAGATTCATTATACATGTTAGATTATTAAAGCCTTTGAAATTTTTACAGTAAAGAAATTCTTTGTCATAAATTTTCGTAACCCAGTGTTGCAAACCTATTTGGAATTGGACTTCCTATAAAAAACCATAGTGGCCAACAGAATCGGAGGAAGAGCTGGATATTTGTAGTTATATACATGATTTGAAATAGTTATACAACTTAAAATGGCTCCAAATTTTTGTTATTCAAAGTACGTGGTTTTAGTGCTATTATTATTATCTAGGTGTTTTATTTCATTGGAGATAACTTTGATAGAAATTTAATGGATTTCTAATGTAAAAAGCATAAAGACCTATGGCACTTTTTCTCCTTTGATATTTTTATTCCAAATGTTAATTATAAATGATAAAGCTTATTTTTTAAATAGCTTCAATGCTTTAGTTTATGATATGTACTAAAAAAAAATATAGCAAATTCACTAATTCTGATTTCTGTGTGTATATTATAGTCTTGTCGATTGGGTCAGCATAGACCTATTTCTCGATTACTGACGGATGGGATCATGAGAGTTGGATCTACTGCATCAAAGAAACTATCAGAGAAGTTGGTAGCAGAATGGTTTTCTCAGGCAGCTGATGGTAACAGTGAAGCATTTTCTAAACTCAAGCTTTATGCACAAGTCTGCAGATATGACCTAGGTATTGAATTTATATTTGTTGTATAAGGCCAATTTTAGCAAAGTATGACCTAGTCAACCAACTTTTTGTAAATAATATTTTAATGGAACACAGCCATTCATTTATTTACAGGTTGTCTGGGCCTCCTTTTGTGCTATTAAAATCATAGCTAAGTAGTAGTGACAGAGACTGTGTAACTTGCAAAGCCAAAAGTATTTACTATCTGATCCTTTACAGAAAAAAATTTGATCACTGCAATAGGGCTCCTATCAAGTAGGAAGATACGTGTTTTTTGTTTAAGTTTATTAACATTAAGATTCTTGATTTCTTAATGGTTTAGAGATAAAAACAACTTGTAGTTCCCTCTATAGTATCAAAAGATAGTTCTTTGTTGGAATTAAAATGACAGTTATTGAGACTTGTTTTTAAAACCCTTAATTAATTGGAAGAATCAATATTGTCAAAATGGCTATACTACCCAAAGCAATCTACAGATTCAATGCAATCCCTATCAAACTACCAACGGTATTTTTCACAGAACTAGAATGAATAATTTCACAATTTGTATGGAAATACAAAAAACCTCGAATAGCCAAAGTAATCCTGAGAAAGAAGAATGGAACTGGAGGAATCAATCTGCCTGACTTCAGACTATACTACAAAGCCACAGTCATCAAGACAGTATGGTACTGGCACAAAGACAGAAATATAGATCAATGGAACAGAATAGAAAGCCCAGAGATAAATCCACGAACCTATGGTCACCTTATCTTTGACAAAGGAGGCAAGGATATACAATGGAAAAAAGACAACCTCTTTAACAAGTGGTGCTGGGAAAACTGGTCAACCACCTGTAAAAGAATGAAACTAGAACACTTTCTAACACCATACACAAAAATAAACTCAAAATGGATTAAAGATCTAAATGTAAGACCAGAAACTATAAAACTCCTAGAGGAGAACATAGGCAAAACACTCTCCGACATAAATCACAGCAGGATCCTCTATGACCCACATCCCAGAATTTTAGAAATAAAAGCAAAAATAAACAAATGGGACCTAATGAAACTTAAAAGCTTTTGCACAACAAAGGAAACTATAAGCAAGGTGAAAAGACAGCCCTCAGATTGGGAGAAAATAATAGCAAACGAAGCAACAGACAAAGGATTAATCTCAAAAATATACAAGCAACTCCTCCAGCTCAACTCCAGAAAAATAAATGACCCAATCAAAAAATGGGCCAAAGAACTGAACAGACATTTCTCCAAGGAAGACATACAGATGGCTAACAAACACATGAAAAGATGCTCAACATCACTCATTATCAGAGAAATGCAAATCAAAACCACAATGAGGTACCATTACACACCAGTCAGGATGGCTGCTATCCAAAAGTCTACAAGCAATAAATGCTGGAGAGGGTCTAGAGAAAAGGGAACCCTCTTACACTGTTGGTGGGAATGCAAATTAGTACAGCCACTATGGAAAACAGTATGGAGATTTCTTAAAAAGCTGGAAATAGAACTGCCATATGACCCAGCAACCCCACTTCTGGGCATACACACCGAGGAAACCAGATCTGAAAGAGACACGTGCACCCCAGTGTTCATCGCAGCACTGTTTATAATAGCCAGGACATGGAAGCAACCTAGATGCCCATCAGCAGACGAATGGATGAGGAAGCTGTGGTACATATACACCATGGAATATTACTCAGCCATTAAAAATAATTCATTTGAATCAGTTCTAATGAGATGGATGAAACTGGAGCCCATTATACAGAGCGAAGTAAGCCAGAAAGATAAAGACCACTACAGTATACTAACACATATATATGGAATTTAGAAAGATGGTAACGATAACCCTATATGCAAAACAGAAAAAGAGACTCCTATGTATAGAACAGACTTGTGGACTCTGGGAGAAGGCGAGGGTGGGATGTTTCAAGAGAACAGCATCGAAACACATATATTATCTAGGGTGAAACAGATCACCAGCCCAGGTTGGGTGCATGAGACAAGTGCTCGGGCCTGGTGCACTGGGAAGACCCAGAGGGATCGGGTGGAGAGGGAGGTGGGAGGGGGGACCGGGATGGGGAATACATGTAAATCCATGGCTAATTCATTTCAATGTATGACAAAAACCACTGCAATGATGTAAAGTAATTAGCCTCCAACTAATAAAAATAAATGAAAAAAATAATAATAATAAAATAAAATAAAAATTAAAAAAATAATAAAATAAAAAAATTTAAAAAAATAAAAAAATAATAATAAAATAAAATAAAACTTGCCAGCCTCTTAGAGCCCACAGAGCTATCTGTCTTCTAGAATAACAAAGCTTTTTCGAATTTACCAGTCATTCCCAATGTTCCATAGAAAAATGGCGCTTAAACTGTCCCCACCACTGTAGAAAAAGATTGACATGTTTCTGAAAATTCAGATTCATAAATTAGGGAAATAGTACCAATTATGTATTCACTATTTAAGCTCCATGACTTGTTATAGATTATGCTTAGACTTGCATTAATAAACTTAACTTTAAAAAAAAAACCCTTAATTAAATATCAATGGACTTACTTTAGACTTAATCCAAAGAGACACAGAACCAAAACATTGAACCTCACTAGACATTCCTATCATTTGAACCCCTTAATTTGAACCCCTCTGTTTTATATTTAATTAGTCCCCAGTATAGTCACTTTTCAACTTGTGACCAGGGAACTCTTCAATGGTTTAATGAAATTTTGCTGGATAGTTCATGGAAATCATTTTTTTATTTTGTATCTGTTGGTTTTTCAGTTGAAAGTGGTTTTCAGTTCCACTCAGAATTCATTTTTTTCACTTTCTAGGGGAAATAGTAAGCTAGTGTATGCTACACTGTTAGCAGGCAACTTAGGGAGAGGATAATTACTAAAAAAGTGTCCACTAGTTATTATTCACATAGTAAATAAAGAACCAATTAGTGAAATAAAGAATTAAATATCCTGCTTGTTTTTATTATCTTTAGGTCCTTATCTTGCTTCCCAGCCATTGGACAGCTCTCTGCTTTCCCAGCCAAATTTAGTCGCCCCTCCAAGTCAGTCTTTGATTACGCCACCTCAGACGACGAGTACCGGAAGCGCTAATGCTCCGGCTGCCACCCTGGCCTCTGCGGTGAGCGGCACTGTGACAGTGAGTTCAGGTGTTGCGATGGCTTCTTCAGTTGCCACAGCTAACTCAACCTTAACCGCAGCTTCAGCTTCCTCTTCGTTGTCCTCCAACTTGAATAGTGGAATGTCATCAAATAAACTACCTTCATTTCCACCTTTCGGCACCATGAACAGTAGTGCTACGGGATCCATGTCTACACAAGCAAGTACGGTCCCGAACAGCCAGCTAGGAGGGCAGCCTCCCTCAGCTCTACAAACAGCTGGCATTTCTGGAGAGTCATCTTCGGTTCCCACTCAGCCACATCCTGATGTGTCTGAAAGGTATCTTTACCTGTACTAATTTTGCAGAAATATAAATATATGCCGCTTCTGTCTGAATAAGAATATAGAAGAGCCTTTGTTCTTACCCTTGAAATTTTAGTTTTAATGTTGAATATTTTACCTATAAAATTATGATGAAGACTCTTCATAAAGTCTTTATCATATTATCTCAGAGTGGGAATGAAGACCTTGAAAACTGTCTAGTCCAGTTGTCCTGTGACGTTTGAGACTATTCTGTGACATAATTGTCAATTATGTGCAAATCATTGCAGTGATCTATAAGTCACTATTGAATGACCCTGTTCAGAGGCATAAGAGTTATATCAGGGTTTGAATCTTCGCTCTGTTGTTTACTGGCTATATCACTTTAGGAAAGTTACCTAACCTTTTTGAGCCAGTGTTTTCTTATCTGTAAAGTGGGAGCAGAAGGATATAATGTACATTGTGTGCCTCAGCAAATGCTTCCAATCACATTAGTTATTTTTAACAACAACAATGATGATGGCAGCTCTGTTCCTTTTATGAAGAAGGTATTCCCTTTTGATTTATAGGTTAGGTTAACCTGAGCCTGATTATGTCTTTCAGCTCCCACTTGCAGTTTTCCCCAAAGTTACAAATGTGACTAAAAACAAACTCTTAGTTACCCAGCTAGATCCTTCCATCTTTATAGATTTGGAGTTTTAAAAACTCATACCGCCATCAAAGAATGAAGCTTAATCACCAGTGAAGTTATGAAGTATGAAATAAATGTGTATTTTCTAAAAATGTAGTAGACCACTGACAAGACTGGAAAACTGGTTTCTTTTTGGTCTAGCTCTGCCTCTAGACAGCTTTGTGATCTTGGGCAGCTCATTTAACTTAACTTTTGTCTCAGTTTTAGCACATAAGCTCTACGCTGTCTGACATTTCTTATCCTCTGTGGTTTTAGGAATTCTGTTTCTTTTAATTGCAAACCTCTTAATAGGGTCTTTGTACACCATGAAATTGTGAATATTTATGATTCTGCTTGGAATGGTGTCCCTCATTTCTAGAGAGGCTCTCGATAGCACCCAACCCCCAAAATGGGGAGAGGATAAGAACCTCCTTTGATGCTATTTTAAGAAGGTGGAGTACTGTTTTTTCCCTAACTGTCTTATTTCTACTTCAAATTTTAGCACAATGGATCGGGACAAAGTGGGCATCCCCACAGATGGTGATTCACATGCAATCACTTATCCACCTGCAATTGTTGTTTATATAATTGACCCTTTTACATATGAAAATAAAGATGAGAGCACTAATTCTTCTAATGTATGGACTTTGGGGTTACTTCGTTGTTTTCTGGAAATGGTCCAGACTCTTCCTCCTCATATTAAGAATACTGTTTCTGTACAGGTAAGAATGATAAATGTTACAAGTTTATTTAAAACAGTTTGGTCCTGATAGACATTTCACAGCTACTATTCTATATCTAGATTGATTTTCTAAAAGCCAGATTCTATCTTATTGACTTCATTTTAAATGATATTAGAAATCTTAGAGAGTTTATAAAAGATAAACTTGCAGTCATACCACAGTAATAATGGAGGATAAAAAGATTGCATTAAGTAGGGTAAATGTTTCTCCTGTGTTACTTTTATATAAACTAATTTTTAAATTCTTTGGCTTAAATAAGAAAATCAAGAATGGACTGATATAAGCTAGAGTTCTAAATAAGACTGGTTATAAAGTAAAAGTAGAGAAAAATCACATTAAGTTGTATGCAGAGAATTTGAATTATTTCTTTATAGACTAGAATAGGATTATGGCAGTCAGTGGCAGTATTAATCAATATAGCTGCTATGTAGAAATGTTTAAAGATTTTTTTTTAAAGATTTTTACATAACTTATTAGTATAATTGAGTATTAAAATCTATATACTAGATAAGAAAATATAATTCTTTATTTTACTTAGGTTCTGTTTAAATTTTCTAATAAAATTTTTTTAGAGTTTTAAACCCACTATTCTTTTTTTAATCTCTTGTTAAAAATTTAACATTTGTAATATTTGCCTTTAATTCTTAGATTGTTCCCTGTCAGTACCTGTTGCAGCCTGTGAAGCATGAAGATAGACAAATCTATACCCAGCATTTAAAATCTCTGGCTTTTTCGGCCTTTACCCAGTGTCGGAGACCACTTCCAACATCAACCAATGTGAAGACATTGACTGGTTTTGGTCCAGGTTTAGCCATGGAAACAGCTCTTAAAAGTCCCGATGTAAGTATGTTTTCCATAACCAAAGTTATTAAATGACTACTTTGGATGTTATGCAAAACTAAGTGCAGGTTTCTTTTTAGTTCTTATTTTCCACTTATCTTGTAATGGGTTTTTATTTTCAATAAAAAATTTTTCTGCGCTTGTATGGTGCCATAGTAACTTAACGTTTTATTCTACAGAGACCAGAGTGTATTCGACTTTACACACCTCCTTTTATCCTGGCTCCAGTGAAGGATAAACAAACAGAGCTAGGAGAAACCTTTGGGGAAGCTGGACAGAAATACCATGTTCTTTTCGTGGGCTACTGTTTATCACATGATCAAAGATGGATTCTTGCATCTTGCACAGATCTATATGGAGAACTTTTAGAAACTTGTATCATTAACATTGATGTTCCAAACAGGTATTTTTATTTTCTTAAATGTATCATTACATTAAGTCTTGGGATTATGGGTACTTTTCATTTCTTTTATAGTGAATATTTATATTGTATTATGTAAGGGAATTAATAATTTTGATTAATCTGTTAAATAGGCAAAAGAGATTAAAGCCCCTGAATTGTATATAATAAACCTTGAGGTAATGATTTTAGGCTAACAGATTTTGAAACATGGGACTAGAAGGTCATTTGCAATTTAAAATCCAGTAAAGCTTTCTATTTCTAGAACATTTATTTTTCTCATGTACCATCTAAGATACAGTCCCTAATAAACTGAATTAACTTTACTCACTGAAAATTTTGGGCTTCTCTGGTGGCTCAGTGGTAAAGAATCCACCTGTCAGTGCAGGAGACATGGGTTTGATCCCTGGGTGAGGAAGATCCCCTGGGAAATGAAATGGCAACCAACTCCAGTATCGTTGCCTGAGAAATCCTTGGAATGGAGGCACCTGGCAGGCTACAGTCCAGAGGGATACAAAAGAGTCAGATAAGACTTAGTGACTAAACAACAATGAAAAACTTTACTATTTAAATATTGGAGTGTCTTCTGAAAATGGTGGCCCTCTTTAGAATTCTTCTTGATAGTAATTAGGTATCATGACTGGTTATTCATGAAGGCTGTAACTAAGAGTTTACAACAGATGAACCTTGTATTGAGTTGTCACTTAATAGACACACTGATACCATATTTGAAAGCTAGTGAACATTGCCTAAGAGAACATGAAAAGTCCATGAAGTAACTTGATTTTTCAGTTTTGGTTCTCTCCTTTATTTTCTTCTTTCTTTTATAAACATTCTGTAGTTTTAAGGTCAGAAATTGGTTATATGCCAAAAAAAATTTTTTTTGCTTATTTGGCTATAGTGGCACTGAAGAAGCAGATATAGAAACATTGATCTGTGATGGATGAGAATGAGAACAGAGAGAATAATGCTGCCTTCCCAATACGGAGATGGTGTGCTGCCATTTTACTGAAAGTAAAAGTGAGGTGATGGTTAAGAGGGCCAGTGCTAGAGTCATAGCGATCTGAATTAAAATCCCAATCCTGGCTTATTGGCTGTGTGATCTTGAGAAAATTACTTTACCCAACTGAGCTATAGCTTACTTTTCTGTAAAATCAGGAGGATAATTTTATCTGCCTTATAAGGGTTCTTAGGATGAAATGAGGTGTTACATATAAGTTAATTGGGCATGCTGCTTGATACATAGTAAGTACTCAACAAATGATAGCTACTTTTGCTCAGCCAGAGAGTGCTTATGTACTTGCCTAATAAAGGACATGCATGCAGAAAATAGCATTGTTTGTTATGAGAAGTATGGGGGGATTTGTTCGATATTTTTCAATTTTAAGTATGAAGCAGGGGTTGGCAAACTCCAGTTTGGGGGCCGTATCTGGCCACACCTATTTGTGTAACTGTTGTCCGTTTCATGCTGCAGCAGCAGAGTTGAGTTGTTGCAGAAGAGTTTTGATGGCCTGCAAAGCTTAAAATATTGGCCCTTTAAAGAAAAAGCTTGCCAGTCTCTGGTGTAGAGCACTGTTTCTGATGAATTCTGATAATTTGTGAACGGTTTTTAATTTTAAGTATATATTTTAGCATGTATTAAACAAAATGTAAACTAGCATACCAAACCTGTAATTTTATATGTATTCTTATTTAGGAGTTGTGAAAAAATGTCAAGCACTAAAATGAAGGAACCAATTTTTCACAAATTCAAGCTCTTTTGAAATGTCACCATAGGAATTTTAGAAATATTTATGACTGTCTCTATTCCATACAACAGAGCTCGTCGGAAAAAAGGATCTGCTAGAAGATTTGGTCTACAGAAACTTTGGGAATGGTGCTTAGGACTTGTACAGATGAGTTCATTGCCATGGAGAGTTGTAATTGGCCGTCTGGGAAGGATTGGTCATGGAGAATTAAAAGGTAAAATTGTGTTATTACTATTTAATAGTTAAATTTCTGTTTTATGTTAATTCATATACTATTCAGATCATATCTAGGAATAGGTACTGAATAAAATGCAAAAGGTAATAAAAACCTAGTTTTCTGTCTTGTTCTTTAAAGGGGAACCACATATGTCTAGCTCCCAAATGGCCTAACTCAAATTTTAAGAGAATTTATTCCAATTTTATATAAGTGCTATTACTGCTATTCTTGCCATCTCCCAGTTTTATCCCCTTTCTGCTTATTAGTCAACTCATCCTATGTTCAAGAAATACTGTTACCAGCATATACTGAAGTTAGGGGGTAAAAGATGTTGAGACGTATCAGTAATAGATTTTTGACTTGATGACTCTTGAGGAATACATTAATTTCAAAACCATTATGTTTTAACTTTTGTTCTCTAGGTTGTTAACAGTGCTTTTATTTTGGGTATTACTATTATTATTATTTACTGTTGATACCCACAGATTGGAGCTGTTTGCTGAGTCGTCGAAACCTGCAGTCTCTAAGTAAAAGGCTGAAAGACATGTGTAGAATGTGTGGTATATCTGCTGCAGACTCTCCTAGCATTCTCAGTGCTTGCTTGGTAGCAATGGAACCCCAAGGTTCTTTTGTTATTATGCCAGGTTAGTTATCTTTAGTTTATATCAGATTTAATTCTTTATGTACTTAAGTTTCTAAGTGTTATGTAAAATTGATTCTTCATTAATTAAAAGAAAAAATACCTTTCATTTTCTTTTCAGATTCCGTGTCGACTGGTTCTGTATTCGGAAGAAGCACCACTCTAAACATGCAGGCATCTCAGCTTAATACCCCACAGGATATATCATGTACTCATATACTTGTGTTTCCAACTTCTGCTTCTGTGCAAGTAGCTTCAGCTACTTATACCACTGAAAATTTAGACTTAGCTTTCAATCCCAACAATGGTAAGTGAATTGTTCTCTGAAAAGTGAAAGTGAAGTCTCTCAGTCGTGTCCGACTCTTTGCAACCCCGTGGACTGCAGCCCACCAGGCTCCTCCATCCATGGGATTCTCCAGGCAAGAGTACTGGAGTGGGTTGTCATTTCCTTCTCGGGGATCTTCCCGACCCAGGGATCAAACCTGGATCTCCCACACTGCGGGCAGACGCTTTAGCGTCTGAGCCACCAGGGAAGTCGAATTGTTCTCTAGAGGTTTGCAAATATGAAATAAATCTGGGTGATTCTGACTGATTATAGACTGGATAATGCCTCTCAAAACATCTGTGTCCTGTGTATGTTCCTGAAACCTGTGACTGTTAACGTTATATGCATGCTGTTGCAGATCTGAGAAAAGATCTAAGATGGAGAGATTACTCTGGCTTATGCAGGTGGGCCTGAAATACAATCTTATATATCCGTAGAAGAGAGAGACAGAGAGAAATTTGACTGTACACAAAAGAGGAGAGGACCGTGTAGTGGCAACAGAGGAAATCAGAGTCAGAGAGAAATGACTATGCTGCTGACTCTGAAGATGGAGGAAAGAGCTTGAGCCAAGGAAAATAGGAATAGATGTTAGAAAAGACAAGGAAACAGATTTTTTCCCTGGAGCCTTGAGGGAGAGCATACCCCTGCCTGTACCTAGATTTCTGGCCTAATGACTAGCATTTTGATTTCAATCCAGTAAAACTGATTTTAGACTTCTGACCTCCAGAACTAGAAGAAAATAATGTTCGTTGTTTCAACAAGTTTGTGGAAATTTGTTAAACTGCTACAGGAGACTAATACCATTCTTCTGCTTTATTGATATCAGAACTAATGCTGTGAATTATCCCATAAATATTTACTTATTTTTTGAATTGATTAATTAATTTGCACTGAGTCTTGCTTATGGCATGCGGACTCTTAGTTGTGGCATGTGGGAACTAGTTTCCTGAATAAGAATCAGACTCAGACTCCTGCATTGGGAGTTCAGAGTCTTAGTCACTGGACCACCAGGGAAGTCCCTGATGTTTGCTTACGTTAAAGGCAACATTGATCATAAAATATTTGTACAGTTTATGTACATACTGTTGAGTTACCTGTATGTAAACTTTGCAGGTCATTTTATATTCTTTTCTATTTTGATTTACCAAAATAATATAGTAATTTATAACTTTTCTAGATGTACTTATATAGATTGCATTTTAGTACAAGAGAAAATAAGTGATATTCCATTGTTTCTCTGAGAAAATGACACATCTCTAAAGTCAAAAGTATGGGTAATGATTATTCTCCTCTTTTAATGTGTATGCAGTAACTTGAATATTTTAATAATAAAGAATTAAGGAATTTGTGAAGCGACTTAGCAGCAGTAGCAGCAGCAGTCTCATTTTAAATACATTTTCATTCTCAGCATTTGTGTTAGTTCCCTGTTGCTATTTGTAACAAATTACCACATGCTTATTGGCCTAAAACAACACACATTTATTTTCCTACAGTTCTGGAAATCAGAAGTCCAAAATTATTCTCACTGGGCTATAAATACAAAGTCAAGGCATCTGCAGGGTGGATTCTTTCTAGAGTCTCTAAGGGAGAATCTGTTTCCTTGTCTTTGACAACTTCTAGAGACCATGTACATCTCTTGCTCATGGTCCCTTTTTTCATCTTCAGTGCCAGCAAGTTAATACAGTCACATCTTCAGTGACTCTAAGCATATTTTAACCCTCTTGTTACGACCCCTTTGGTTACATTGAACCCACCTGGATAATCCAGAATAATCTCCCCATCTCAAGACCTTTTGTTTGATCACATCTGCAAAGTTCTTTTTTTTTTTTTTTTTCCATTTATTTTTATTAGTTGGAGACTATGCAGAGTTCTTTATCGTAACATATTCACAGGTTTCTGGAATTAGGATGTGGGCATTTTCAGGAGGGACCATTATTCAAAGCAGTCTCATGTTTATTTATGCATAGTTGATTATTTGTGTCTTATCACAATACTTGGCACATGGTATGCATTCAGTAGATGTTGATTAACTCATTTTGGCTAAGATCCATTGTTTTAACCCTTTCTTGTAAATGACCGTGGGATATGAAAAATGGAGTATTTAATTTTTTCTTCCTTCTTCATAGATGGAGCAGATGGAATGGGTATCTTTGATTTATTAGACACAGGAGATGATCTAGACCCTGATATCATTAATATCCTTCCTGCATCTCCAACGGGTTCTCCTGTTCATTCTCCAGGATCTCATTACCCCCATGGAGGTGACACTGGCAAGGTAACCCTGTTATAAAAGTTCAGTTTATCTAAATGTCATTTATTATCTTAGTAATGGACTATATCAATGAGAAAGAACACTTTTTTCCCTTGAAAATTAGCAAGAAAATTAAAACAGTCCATTCATGTACTTTACCACAGAGACATCAATAAGTTGAGTTGTACATTATTAAGAGGGTCTCTAAGGTTCTGCTTTCTCTGACTTTGTATTTTCTAGACTACTTGGCATTAATCCTTCTTTAAGTTTTCCTGCCACTTCACCATAGCTTCTACTTAGAAATAGAATTAGATTATCTGAAAAACAGGATATGACTCTAAGAGCTGCCATTCATATCAGAGCTGTGGACAAGGAACATAAAGGAAATAACTGATTTTCCCATAAAAATAGAAAGAGCACAGACCCCTCCCCTTTTAATTTTTACCACTTATGGAAACATTCTGTCTTGTCCTTCTGTTTGAACTCAAAATGATTTGAGCTTCATTTGAATAACATCATATTTTAATGAAATTATATAGTGGTTATTTGATTATTATAATATGCATATGTTTACATATGTTTAAAGAAGGATCTTCATCTGACCTTACTTTGCATCCTTTCCTTTTTCTTTTTTAACTGGAAAAGAATTAAATGATGGGAAAAAAGAAACAAATAAGGAAAAGCACCAATAATCATACCACTTTAATAGAACCAGTTTTGTGGTATCTTAGTTCCCAGATCAGGACTGAAACTGCATCCTTGGCAGAGAAAGCATTGAGTCCTAGCCACTGGACCATCAGGGAATTCCCTTAGCAGCTTTTTAATTACGTTGATCCTTTACCATAGTTTGTTTCCATTGCTGTTCGGTTCCTAAGTTGTGTCCAATTCTTCGCCACCCCATGGACTGCGACACGCCAGGCTCCTGTGTCCTTCAGTATCTCCTGGAGTTTGTTCAGATTTATGTCCATTGAGTCAGTAATACTATCTGGTTTGTTATATCATTCCCCAGATATTGGACACTTAAATCTTTTATTTTTTTCTATTGTAAGTAATAATTGCAGTGAATGTTTCTGTGTTGATATATCATTTTTCTTTTTATCTGTTTCCTTAACATAAATAGCAAAGAATGCATTAACTAGTCTAAAGGCTATGATCCTTGCCATAATGCCTTCCAAATAACTCTTAATTGCATTTTATAGATAGTGCTACATGAACAAAGATAAATTCAGTCCACCTTTTGGATTGGGATACGATCATGAATTAGTTGAGAGGGTATTAGAAAATAAGTTAGAAAGTTCATTGAATGTTTTGTACATTTGAATCAGCTACAAAGATTTATACACACAGTCACACACTGAACATGGGCTTGACCTAATAATACAAACTTGTTAAAATAATATATTTTCTTAAAACTCTTAAAATTCATTTATTTAATGCTATTACTAATTAAGATACATAGCAAATTGACTTTTTAAAATGTCCTTCAGTGGAGAAGGAAATGGCAACCCACTCCTGTATTCTTGCCTGGAGAATCCCACGGACAGAGGAGTGTGGCAGGCTACAGTCCATGGGGTCACGAGAGTTGGACACAACTTAGCAACTAAACCACAGGCATTTTAACACATTTTGCCCAATTTTCTATCTTTTTATTTTGAAATGATATTTATTGTAAGAGTTTGGATGAAAATTATTGTTGAAAATAATTCAGATGACACTGGACCATTGCTGATGAATTTTATTAAATAAACAGATCTTACCTATAAAAAAACTTAAAATGTCCTTCAGTATTTTTTAAATTGAAGTAATTAGATAATGAGACTGATAGTAATAAACTATTCTGTATTTATAGCTATTATATAGCAAATGAAGTAACATATTTTTAATTTTCTCTTTTTAAGGGTCAAGGTACTGATCGACTACTTTCAACAGAGTCTCATGATGAAGTAACTAATATTCTTCAGCAACCATTGGCCCTTGGTTACTTTGTATCAACTGCCAAAGCGGGTCCCTTACCTGACTGGTTCTGGTCAGCATGTCCTCAAGCACAATATCAGTGCCCCCTTTTTCTTAAGGTATTGCCCTGAGTGATGCTCATTGACCGCTTAAGTCCTAAGAAGTATGGAAGTGGAGTCTTTAGCTTTTGTTTGAGGTCTTAAATGCATTGCCACATATAACTCTCTAGATAAAATAACAAAGAGAATAATTATGAAACAACTCTAATTCTTAAATTTATATTAAGTTTAAACTTGTAAATAGCTTTAAATGGACTCTCTGAGACCTTTGCTCTTAATTAGTTTTAGCTGCACATTTAGAGTTTAGAGCTAGAAGAAACCTTATATTAAAATACCTTTAATCTAACCTTTTCATTTTCTTAGTGAGCATATTAACAGTTCAGAAAAACTCGTTTGTCCAGTCATAAATTGGTAGTAGACTTGATTAAAACCTGAATCGTTTAATGATTATATAATGTTATTCTTTGAATTATATCATAGTACACTCCTATTATGCCTCATTATTTTGAGAACTGAAGAAGGATTCATAATTTTTGTAAAAATGTTTGCTATTTAGGTGCATTTCCCTACCTCCTTAAAAAAGCTTGCTAGCTTTGTATAAATTGCTGTGTTAAAACTATTGAGTGGTTTTCAAGTAATGGTATTCTCAGACCCATAGTGACTTATTTTATCAAAACAAATTCATTATCAAGTGATATAACAAGGTGGAGATAAACCATAAAATGGTAAAATGAAATGTGAAAGCCCTATCTAGAGTTTGTTCCTGCTGCTACTACTACTTTTCCAAAATAACAAATGAAGATCTGATTTCACTTATTCTTGTATAAACCTACCAGAAGTTGACTGGTTTATTCCATAAATTATGCTAACTTAACTACTTGCCAACTGATTTTTATTTGTAGGATAAAAGTTGAATAGTATGTACTTTAGTTTTTTAAGATTATATTTAGTGGGTACTTGAACCAGTAAACTTGTTGCTATCTTTTAAGCCTGTTACTATTAAATCTGATTCGCTTGGCTCACATATCATTGAGTCAGTGACATTTTGATTAAACAGTGAATTTCTATAGCACATTAATGAAGAATACAAGAGCTGTTGATCTGAATTGACTGTTAGTGAGATAATATATTTAGAGAGTGTTGGCCAAGGTAATAGTTTTAGCACAAGACTTTTCTACCCCTTCCAGTGTACGTGTAGTGGTCTTGTATCTCATTACAAGAATGTATTCCCAGGGGGATTTCTGCACTTCTGTAGTAGTCCTTGGAGTTTCTACAAAACAGAGGGTTCTTTGGTCCTTTAGGAAGTAAGTGCTCCATGTGCTTTCTGCTCTCTCTTTTGTTATTACCATACACATTAAAAGCTCTGAAAAACAGCAGCAAATAATAGTGTTTCACAGAACATGTTTTTAAGAAACACCACTTTATAAGAAGTCCAAGGGACTATCCAGATTCTTTTCTACTCAATATTTATTTGCAGAGAGGATAGTGTAAAGTGGGCATTCACCCTCAGATACAGTGTAACAAGATTAGGACTTCTGGTCTGAATTACCAGGTAAGGCATAACTTACCATAATTTTGTTCACCTTTTTTTTTCATACATTCCATTTTATTTCTATATCATAGGCAATAAAATCATTTGGTATGTTTCTCTTGGCTTGGGAAAAAAAGATTGTTACCTAGGTGATTAAAAAAATCTTTTTATCATTGAAATTAGAGCACTACTGCTAATTACATTCATTTATTTGTTGTAATCTGCCATATGAGAGACTTTTGCTTATAAATCTAGGGCCCGTGGGCAGTTGAAACATATTTTTGGTTATATTTCTAAATACACAACACAAAATTTTATACATATTATTGCAGCTGTAGAGGAGAGCACATCTCAATATAAAATAATACCTTTTATAGTCGTACAGAGAATGAGACCTGTCAAGAGTTCCTGCAGTCAGTACTATGTCTTTTCATAGCTTAACACTATTATATATTTTGACTTACAAACTAAACAGTTCACTTTCTTTGATTGAAATGTGAAGAAGAGTACCATATTCCTTTCTTTTACTCTTCATTGCCATACCTAAGTGAGTGTATGAGTTGTTACTAAACCTCCATTATGAAACTGAATGGACAAAAGAATGCATCTGTGCACTATTATTACTTAAGTTGCTCAGTCAGTCAGTTCAGTCACTCAGTTGCAACTCTTTGCGACCCCATGGACTGCAGCACGCCAGGCCTCCCTGTCCACCACCAACTCCAGGAGCTTGCTCAGACTCAGGTCCATCGAGTTGGGAGATGCCATCCAACCATCTCATCCTCTGTTGTCCCCTTCTCCTCCTGCCTTCAATCTTTCACAGCATCAGGGTCTTATTTCCAATGAGTCAGTTCTTCACATCAGGTGGCCAAAGTACTGGAGTTTCAGCTTCAGCATCAGCCCTTCCAGTGAATATTCAGGACTGATTTCCTTTAGGATGGACTGGTTGGATCTCCTTGCAGTCCAAGGGACTCTCCAGAGTCTTCCCCAACACCACAGTTCAAAAGCATCAGTTATTCAGCACTCAGATTTCTTTATGGTCCAACTGTCACATCCATACATGACTACTAGAAAAACCATAGTTTTGACTAGACGGACCTTTGGCAGCAAAGTAATGTTTCTTCTCTTTAATATGCTCTCTAGGTTGGTCATAACTTTTCTTCCAAGGAGCAAGCATCTTTTAATTTCATGGCTGCAGTCACCATCTGCAGGGATTTTGGAGCCCAAGAAAGTATAAGTCTGTCACTGTTTGCTCTGTTTCCCCATCTATTTGCCATGAGGTGATGGGATGGGATACCATGAACTTCATTTTTTGAGTGTTGAATTTTAAGCCAACTTTTTCACTCTCCTCTTTCACTTTCATCAAGAGGCTCTTCATTTCTTTTGTGCTTTCTGCCATAAGGGTGGTGTCATCTGCATATCTGAGGTTATTGATACTTCTCCTGGCAATCTTGATTTCCTGCTTGTGCTTCATCCAGCCACTGAAAGTAGCTCTGCTTAAGATTTATAGCTTTATAGGTAAAATATGTGCATATGCTTACTTTTTTCAGGCTTCTCGGGTGGCTCTAGTTGTAAAGAACGCCCCTGCCAGTGCAGCAGACGTAAGAGATGTGGGTTCGATCCTTGAACTGGGGAGATCCCCTGAAGGAGGGCATGGCAATCCACTCCAGTATCCTTGCCTTGAAAATTCGCTGTGGACAGAGGAGCCTGGCGGGCTATGGTCTACAGGGTCGCAAGGAGTTAGACACACTGAAGCTACTTGGCACAGTACTTTTTTCAGCCCTGGACCTAGGTTAATTTGCATAGTCTATGTTACATAGAGACTGTACTCAGGTTATCAGTTTTGTGCTTTCCTAAACATTTACTTCACACATCTGGGCAAGTTGCACATAGAAAATAACTAGAAATCCTTTTTGTGGCCTCAGAAGCCATGAAACTGAACAAGTTTTGTTATGCACTTAAAAATTACATAATGAATTAAACAAGAAGAATAGCCATGTTTATAGTGGCTCCCATTCACTACATGAGTCTAAAAGGTATTTCATCATGGAAGAGACCTTGGGAAAACGAGGTGACACCAGCAGATTTCCCGTTGGCTGACCGTCCCTGTTCCTTTCTAGGCCTCTCTGCACCTCCACGTGCCTTCAGTGCAATCTGACGAGCTGCTTCACAGTAAACACTCCCACCCCCTCGACTCAAACCAGACTTCAGACGTCCTCAGGTACCGTTCTTACCGCCTAAGCTTGGAAGGAGTGTCATGTTCATCCTTACATGTTGTTCTCATTTTTGGCAGTAGTTTACAGTTGTGTTACCTTTGGATCTCTAGTTGAATTATTTATCATTCAGAATGAGTGCTTTCCTTTCTAATACATGTAATCTACCTCTGAGAACAATTTTAATGAAAATCAGTTTTCTTTAATCTCCCCAAGACCCTCTATTTCATACTTTAACTTTTTGTGTGTGTGTGACTTTTAATCTTATATGCCATCTTCGAATTTGCTTCCAAAATTTATAATGTAGGTACATATATGACTTAACTTAGTTTACTTGCTTTTCAGGTTTGTTTTGGAACAGTACAATGCACTCTCCTGGCTAACCTGTGACCCTGCAATCCAGGACAGACGCTCATGTCTCCCAATTCATTTTGTGGTGCTGAATCAGTTATATAACTTTATCATGAATATGCTGTGATCTTCATTTGATGGAACTGTGCAAGAAAAGAACAAGGAAAAAGATTTTGCTGCAAGATTAAGTTACAGTTATCTTCTCAGTGAAAGTCATTTGTGATGGGGTCTAATTCTTATTACTTCAACAAATATTGTTTTGACTTGGAGGGAGGGGCGATAACCCTGTTATTTTTCATTGACTATACTGAACTCTTTAGGATGATGACTGATCATACACAACGTATTATAACATTTTCGTAGCAAAATTAACCTTTTTTTTCCAGTCACAGTATTTGTGAAAAGTAATGAGCCATAGTACCCAGTCATGTTAAATGAATATTAAAAGCATGGAGAAGGAAACATGAGGAACAATGAATTTCAACATATGGCTTCAGAACATCAAGATGTTCTTGTATTGGATTATAGTATCTAGTATTCAAAAATGCCTGCATCTCTTATTTATTGTAAGTTTTTAAATGTATAAATTGTCTTATATTTCTTAACCTCTTTTATAAAAATTTTCCTAGAAGGTTTATACTGCCTTCTTGCTTTAAAGCAATTGGTCTAAAATATATGTAATCGTCTTAATTAAAAAGTTGCAGTAGGGTTGCTTTTAGAGTATTATTTTTTTGTAAGGGGGTGGGTGGGACAGTAAATTTGTATTGTCTTGATGTACAGTTTAATGGGGATAGAGGGGAAATAATGTCCATACCATTGTGTGTGGAGGATTTACAGCTAAGCTGTAGTTGCAGAGTACATGTACAGTAATGAAGTTCACTGTGTTTATAAATTGAAAAGGTACCGGGTCTTACAACATTTTATATATCAACCACACCTTTACAGAATAACATGATGGCAATATACAAGTGATATTGTTAGGTGGTTTAACTTAGAATAAAAATGAGAATTCTTCAGTTATATTTTGTACTATGGTTTAGGGCTATGACTAATATTTCAGGCCATTTCCAGTGAAAGAAACTTAGTTTTACAAGAAAAACATTTGCTACTGAATGCTTAAACTAATTTTGGTGTTTAATGTTACATGCTTAAAATTTTTTGTTTGTTTTAACAGTGGCACATCTAGGCATGGTAGTATTATTAATTATGAAAATTATCTTCAGGATCTGCTATAGGTTGAAATTTAGCCCAGCTCTAGGCATTTTACAAATTATTTTAAGAGCAGTCACTCTTGATTGTTTGACTTTTTTTTTTTTTAATTAAAGATTGGGAATGTGTATGAGAGTATGCATATGTATGGGTGTGTGTGTGCAATCAAACTGTGGTGTAAATAGATTCTCAGTGAATTCTGGTATTCAGACTATTCCACTAGTTAAAGAACCATTTTCTAAACTTAACCTGTTTCCTTTTGCCTTTTTTATTTATTTAATTTTCTTGGTTTGGAGATGACAGTCCCAAACACCAGAGTCTGTACTTTTCTATAACACAGCTCAGAAAAGGCAGGGCATATGCCAAGGAGGTTCTCACCTCCCTAAAGAAGGGACTTGAATTTTAGGGACTTTAATTCACCCCTTCCTTCAATACAGCTTTCCCTCTTCTTGTTTGCACATGCCAAGATAACTGCTTTTATGCAGCCTTTATCCCCTTAAAAAATCCTTTCTACAGTGCTGCTCACAAGAGAGTCCAAGTTAGCCTCCTACCTGTGTAGCTGACTTAAATTCACAGTCGCCAAGTCTACCTGTCTTTCTTGGAAGCAGTCTAGCTAAATTCTGAATTTGTATGTTCACTAATTCTCTACAAGGACAAAATGGATTGTATTTACAAAACTGTAATTTGGTATGTTTTGTTATTTTTTTTTTTAAACTGAAACTTGTTTTGTAAATACCATATGCTTAGCTTAAATATCACTTTCTTATGAAAAATATAACTTCTTCAAATTGTGTATATTAAAACATTAGCAAGTCTTGTTTTTCCTGTAGAGAAAACACAATTGGTAACAAAGGTTTTCAATCATTTGTTCAAAATTATAATACAATCCCAGTGGTCAGCCTATTTTGAAGTGAAAATTTAAAGGTCACATCTGTGCATTTGTTCTTAAATTATGCTAACACACTACAGATTATGTTGGCATGTTTTGTTCTGTACTTAAAAAAATACTTGTCTGAGATTTGAGGGGAAAGATGCTTATTTGAAATTTGTATTAAAATGGTATTCTTTTTTTGTATATTTTATTATCTCAATAGTGACTCTTTAAAAAGTATACTCTGGGTTGTTTAAAATCACTAATCTATAGTAACCACACCTCAGTTTGAAAACAGATTTTTAGAAAATTATTCCCCGACAGTTTCTTTTTATATGGAGCCATAAGAAAGGAAACCATTACATGATTCCTTTTTATCTGGGAATCAAGGAATAGTTCCCAAGTATATAGGATTTACTGATAAGATTTTTTTCTTCCCTTCATATATAAATTCACACTCAAATGGAAAATTATTAAATAGCCATTCGAAAAGGTCAGGAAACTTGTTTCAGAAAAAAACAAAAAATTAAGCCTTTCGTGCAGGATGATGGATCTGACTTACTAATGTAGTCACAGACAAGTATGGGTAGTTTTGTTTAAATAGGTAAGCAAAGTAATATACTTTATACCAGTTGATCACCAACACCATGACTTCTTTGTTACAGTGCTAATGTCTGTTTTTTGTGCAGTTATCCATTACAAAGCAGGGTGGGAGTTGAGTATTTTGGCATTTTAAAGGATTAGTTATATAATGTCTGCTTCCAACCAGTGAGAAACATCTAGCCATACCTTTCTTATGCAAGCCATTCAGTTATCAGGACTGTGAATTAACACTGTATGAATAAATTTCTGTACACCTTATTGTTTGGCCAGAAGGCCACCAAGTGTACTTATATGTAATCCTTAAATTTTAAAAGTAGCTGTAATTTTTAAATCTTTCTAACTTTTCTTAAACCACTAAAAATTAAGCTCTTACTACTTAGTCAACTATCCTCAGCTGTATTCGTACTCAATTGTCAGTATGGCACAGATTACTGTATTAAAATATTCTCCTTTCGTCTTCATATTTACCTTCTGAGGTAATTTTTTAACTTAATGTGTTACTACAAAGATTTGCAGATCTTTAATCAAGCACTATGTTAATACTGTAATATCAAAATACTATGTTGCGTTATTTAAAATGTTCAAATTGAATACATTAAAACGAAGTTTTTAAATGCTGTTGCATCATATAATTTGCTACTCATCCACTATGGCATCACATATCAGTCTATTAATACATTTAATGTTGCATGAGTGATGTTTTGGTCTGGGTTTCCTCTTTGTCTAAATTAAGGAAAAATGTTTTTGACATAAAATTCTTTTGCTTCCCTGCACCCCTCAAAAAAATCTGCTAGAAAATCTTAACCATTCAGTTTTTTCTTGATGTTTTAATGGGCCCAGAACTGTGGTTTAAATTTATATATATATATATATATATATGTTTTCTTTTTTGTGGAGTATTAATTTAAAACTGGATTTGGGACCTAAAATACTCCTCAGGTTGATGTATTCATGAAGTTTTAAAATAGCTTTAGTTTTCAGAGTAAACTGGATTTGTGGACCTTAAAGTTACTGAGTTTAAACTATAAATTGTAATGTCATTACTGGACATGTCAGCATCAGCTCTCTCAAAATAGCTTGGTCACTTTATGAAGGGGCGTTTTAAAGTTGTTTAGCAGTGACATTTAATATGGTCCAATTGCGTTTTTGTTTTTTTTTTTAACGTGACAAAAAAAGAATAAGGAACAAACACTATTGCTGCCGAATGCCATAACACTGAGTTGTACAAATTGTGATTGAGGAAATGAAAAGGTTTATACTTTTTAAAAAAAACAAAAACAAAAAAAACTTCAAATGGAATAAATTATTCATGAAGCCTTCATTGTGGTGTCTCATTCTCTTGAAAATATTTCCATCTTAAATTCATGTAAAAAGTAGTAGTGGTATTTTTATGTCACTTATAAATGAAAAGGGGCAATCTAAAAACTGATGAGCTTTTCTTTGAAGTATTTTACTTTGTAAAAGATTTTAATCATATGTCAGTGTATAGTATACAGGAAAATTGTATTTATACATATAAATTCCTTTTAGGCTGATCAGTTTCATATCAGTTTTCTAGTCTAAACAAGCTACCTTGAAATTATTTTTAAAATTGTACTATAAAAAATTGCGTAAGTGTTGTTGAAACATAAGCAAAGTAGGTGGGTGGGAGGTCCGTTGGTTTGTTTTTGTTTTTTTTTGCAACACAGAATGACTTGTGGGATCTTAGTTCCCAGACCAGGGATTGAACCTAGGCTTTCAGTAGTGAAAACGTGAGTCCCACCACAGGACTACCAGAGAATTTCCAGACAAGTGTTGTTCACATATAAACAACCAATTGAAAAATAGCTCTGCTGATTTTGTTTAAGCAGCTGTTCAAAATATTTTTGTCCAAACTTAAGCTGAGTAAGGACAAATCCCAAAATTATTGTGCTCATTTTGAGATTGGTGGTCATTTCTGACAGCAGAAGTAAAAAAAGAATCCTTTAAAAAGGTGTGAGTGTCATTGGAATGTCTATCTTAATTTTTTTCTGTCAAGAAAAGACAGAAAAAACTATAAATATGTATTTATATTACATCTGATCATTCTCTACCTTTTAAAACAAGTTAGCACTCAGTTCAGTTCAGTCACTCAGTCGTGCCTGACTGCGACCCCATGAACTGCGGCACGCCAGGCCTCCCTGTCCATCACCAACTCCAGGAGCTTGCTCAAACTCATACCATCAAGTTGGAGATGTCATCCAACCATCTCATCCTCTTGTCGACCCCTTCTCCTCCTGCCTTCAATGTTTCCAGCATCAGGGTCTTTTCCAGTGAGTCAGTTCTTCGCATCAGGTGGCCAGAGTATTGGAATTTCAGCTTCTGCTTCAGTCCTTCCAATGAATATTCAGGACTGATTTCCTTTAGGATGGACTAGCTTGATCTTGCAGTCCAAGGGACTCTCAAGAGTCCTCTCCAACACCACA